GAAATTAGCACCACGGCTGATCAAGTCCACCAGGTAGTGCCTCAAGAACTCCTTAATCCTACGGTATAACTCTAGGCCCACTAATTGAGCACCACCGACCTGTGCTGTTGACGTCGATGATGCTTTTTTGGAACGACTACTCGTTACAGATGCATTTTTATTGGGATTTAAATGCACACTGGTACAGTAATTGTAAACATGAGTATAGAGCTCCATGTACCTGGGCTTGGGCATCGACTGGCGGTTGTACACATGCTCAATTCCATTCTTCAAATCACCCCATATGGTGTCTAGATCATAGATTTGTTTCGACGACATACCGTCGCGCCGGTTTGACATAATCGTTACCACAGATTCTTGTTTTTGACACTACCGTACGTTACTAAAAACAACAAATAAACTTTTTGTAATCTCACCACTAACCAACACAATGTACAAAGAATTTTAATTTACACAAAGAGTAATTTAATATTTATACAAAAAATATTACAAAATATTACCTAGATATTAGTTAAGTTACTTCCCGAACAATGGATTCGCGGATAATGTGATAGGAAAAAGTTTTTTTTTTTGGAGAAACTGATGTTGTCATTTACAAGGAAACTATATATCATATCGTCCCCAAAGAGGTCTGAGATACAATCCACTCCACCGTCGATAACTTACTGTGAGTAGAGGCAATTAACAAACGTTTCTTCTGGAAAATCAAACGCTCGTCACGGCGTTTTAGAACTAAGAAATTGAAGTAGGTCACTGTCTAGTACGGTTTTCTTAAGATTTGTGTGAAAAACAATGTCGTTCGAAAAACCTTTCAGGATCTGCACGAATAGTGAACTTACTGCACAACTCTAAACTGATAACAAAATAACAAAACACAATCACAGAATGATGATAATATTGATAATAAATTCAAATTATTTATTATGTTCAACGAACGGTGTCAACAAGAACGACTGTATAGTGCATAACTATTAACTATTGAGTATTGACTACATATTACCTACTAACTACTAAAGTGACTGTGTCTTCGATCACCTCGGACTTTGTTATGTGACTTTTGAACTGTTACCGTTTACATCATATCGTTTTTTTCAAACGGTAATGTCGACGGAACGTTGAGATGAAAGGGCAGATGTATTCTAAGTTAAAAAACGTTTATGTGAAAGATACATGGCACAACGAAAAGGTTCCTCTAGACATTATCATTACGGTGGAACAAACTTTTCGGGACAATGAAAAAGTAAGGATGTAAGGCACCTGATGAGCTCGTCACAAAACAGTATCATTTTATGTAAAACTTGCATACCAATTGAGTTTATTCTTAAATTCTTGTGCATAACACCAGTAGATGCACTGTCTACAAATGCTGACAGTTGTAGGAAGTTGTATGCAATGTATTTTCAACAACAGTAATGGATAATATTACTAGCAATTTACATATTATATATATGGTTTATAATAAATATAACTACCTAATTGACAATTAAAATATTATACTTACGTTTCCATTAAAACTAAGTAAATATGCTCTTTAAAGTTAAGCTAGGGAAAGATTAAGCATCCTTTCTAACCCTATTAATTTTAGTTAAACCAAATATAATTATGTTGAATAGTTAGATACCTAACTTTTACCTAAAATTGTTTTATCTTCAAACCGCCGATATAAAAATGTGTTAATAGTGTTAGTACTTTCAGACTATATTTATATCTGCTTCTGATGAAAATGATCCACTTTTCTACATCACTGCAAATGTTACTGAAGAGAGCTTTAGAACTATCAAAGAGTCACAAGACTTGGTTGTCAGCTTTGATGGTTTTCCAAATCAAATAATACAACTTTTAAACAATTCAGATGCAACTGGTGATGATGGCCCTAAGTAAGAAGTTTTTTAATTTGTAATCTTCGTACACAATGTTATTCAAATATCTTATACTATCCTAAATGTTTATCCTTTAAGGAACATATTTATTAAGCTGTAAAAATAAACATACCATTTCTTTCTTTCTTTAGATTTAAACTGTTAATTCAAGATGAATACATGGGCAATAAAATATATAAAGGTCCAAAGTATGTATTGAAAATAATCGAACTAAATGAATTTAAGAACCTCTGTCATTTGGCCATTGAAATGTCTAAAGCATCTGATTCTGATGTAGCGAAAAACATATGCAAAAAAATGGCGTCAATCAAAGTAAATAACTTAGTGTTTTAAAAGAGTAAGGTAATAACTCATTTTTATTTTAGAATGTAATTGAATTAAAAGATAAGGAAAATGATCACTTGAAACGAGAACTCTTAAAACTCCATAATGAAGTGGCAAACAAAAATAATGAGTTAGAAAAATTTCAATCATCTATGAACCATGAAAAAATTAATTTAACTGCCCAACAAGAACAAGTTATAAACCAATGGAAAGAAAAATATGAAAAAGTAATTTCATCATTTATTACTTGCTTACTATAGTATCTGCGGTTTAAGTTTTTTTTAAATATTTTGTTTATATTTAGTTAATTATGTTTTGTTCACTGACTTAGTTGGATGCTGAACGAATGAAACAACTGCGTGAAATGCAAGAAGAAATGATTGCACAACAGGAAAGACTCAGTACTTCTCTACAGGCAACTATTAAATCACAAAATAAAGAAATTCAAAGTCTTTTAACTCAATCAGAAAATAGATCAGAACAAATTAGGTAAATGTTTATCTAAAAATAATAATGGATAATATCAAGTCATATAATTTATTTTAGTGAAATGACAATTCGCATGAAAACATTGGAATCCAAAAATAAGACATTAATTGAAGAAACTACATCCTTAATTAATACCAATGAAAACTTAATATCAGACAGAGATATTAAAAAAAAAATCATTGAAAGAATGCAAAATCATATCTTATCTTTAGAAAATGTTAGTATTTAGTCTAAGTATCATTGTTAATTTAAACTAATTTTGAATGATTTTTTAGGAAATTCAACAAAACACAAAGTTATTGCAGAAACAAAATAATTATTATGATATATCTAATAAGCTTCAAGTATGTAACATATTTATTTTGTTTTACAAAATGCATAAAATAGAAATTAATGGCCTAAATTATTTTAAATATCTAAAAAAGTGTTTAAATTTTAAAATGAATGTTTAACTGACAATTGACATGCTGTAGTAATATATGATCAGCCGATCTAAAACTTATGAAATACATACATGCAAAGGTGTAAATGTGTAATTATTCATGCTAATATATTGATAATAGATCGCGTTTCATAATAATGCATATATTTTCAGAAAAACATGACTAATCCCTATACCCTATATTCAAAGCAGCATTATGATCATAGTGTAGCCGATGGTGTTTCATCTTGCAACTTATTTCTGGGTAATTCCTGGATTATAATTTGGTTTACTTATTCTAGTTTTTTATGGTATTCTATTTAAATGACTTGGATTTTCATTGTTGATGTGTATTGATATTTCATCAAAAATACATTAGATACTAATAGATTTTGGTTGGCGCACGGTGCGTTCTCTCGCTGGATAGAGTATAATATATTGTTTTAATCTTTGACCTAGAGAATAAAATATATATTTTTTTTGCTTGAAACTATGTTCTAAAAATGTTGTGTGAATATAATATAATATAATATAATATTAATAAACATAATATATAATTTTTTAGGAACAGTTATCGACAGTTTTGAAAGAAAATGAAGAACTGAAGAAACAGAATGAAGTCAACATGAAATCAATGTGTGATGAATTGAAACAGGCAAATAAAATAATTAAAAAATTACATGATTCCAATCAGGAGCAGACACAGAAGGTTTTTAAATTTTTATCAAAACAATTGATTAACAATTTTTAAATATTTTAAAAACCACATTATGATTTTAGCTTATTTTAAGCAAAGACATTGCGTTGAAACAAAAAGAAGACATTCATACTTATCAGAGTGAAAATGCAAAGTTATCCAAATCTCTTGAAGAAAAAACTTCCAGTATTGAACATCTCAATATTCAACTGCTAGAAACTAAAAGTCGACTCACAGTCATAGAGCAGAACTTAAAAGAAAAAGAAGAACGTTTGGCCAGCAACGACAAGGGTAATTCTGTTTTTTATACTATAAAATTGTATGAATTTTTAGAGATAAAAAAATACATTGCAATATTTTTGTTTCTAGTAATTCATTGGTTAAACAGCAAGTTGAACAATTGTGAGATTGTAGCAAAGTCATCTAGTAATTGTGGTGTGTTATCAGAAACAACTGATGTTACAAGAAACGCTAATGTCAAAAGTGTGGAAAAATTTTCAACATCGACACCAGCCACTGCTGAAACTGTATAGTTATTTTAATGTAGTGTAATATTGAATAAATTCTAATCTGGATGTACACAATTTTCTAGGAAAATATTAAGCCTAAATCATCCTCCAATGGTCGGAAATTGAACTCGAAACCCTTGAGTTCTAACATCAGGTAATAATTTCAGTAATATTAATCTATTGAAATCCTGGTTATTAATGATAATTGATTTGTTATTTGACATTTTAGTGAAACAATGACAAATAACACAAAGAGAAGTGCACCAATTAAGCGTGTTATGTATGGACCAATGAGTTCTGCTCCTTACTTTGCAGCCTGAGTTGGTAATTTTTAAGATTTTAATGTTGAATTATTTTTATAAATGTATACTTTTTTACTGCAATATGTTTAACTATATTTTTCTATGATACTTTATACCAAACATTTGATCATAAATATATTTGATACTTTTTATTTACTATGTTATTTGTTGTTGGTATATAAATAACTGATTCCTTTGCAGTAGACTTTCAATTAAAATTATCAAAGTAAAAATATGATGGCTAGTTAACGAGCAAACCCATTTTCTAAACTAAGAAATGAAGCATAACAATTTTTGTTATAAGTTGGATATTAACAGTTTCAAAAAAAATGAAGATCTCAACATCAGAAAATATACATATGTTTTTAAGCTAGTATATAAGCGTTATTTGTATATATTTTGTAATTTTGTATTTTGAATAATTACACTGAAGTGAGTTAACAACAACCATCAAAAATTATACAGAGAACAGTTTCTAGTGAAACTCAATATTATAACATAAAATATAAATTTATACATATTTTCGATCTTTGTAGTCACGAGTTCTAGCCATCATGGTGGACATTTTTTGGTGGTATGGTAGATGGTTGGATACATTATAATAAGCAATAACATAAAACAAAATATTTAAGGGATTAAGAGTAAGTATAAGTACTGAAATATATACTGTGCATCATATGGTTCATAAATGTTCACCAAGATGTAGAGATCATATGATAATATAACACTGCAATCTTTATTCACTCATCAATGATTGTTTGGAGGCACTGATCCACTGAGGTAGAATGGTGGACCACCGGCCACCAATATAAGTTTATAAAATAACAATTTTTTTCTCGTGGTTGTAATAGTAAGTTGTGATCGAAGTATACTACTGAAATTAACAACTAAAACTAACAGTTTCATTTTTCGGTGCTTCGTTCTCTAGAGAGACGCCACTTGTTCTGTTAATGAGGGAGGGCAAAAGGACAATTTATTAATATTTTTTTTTTTGCCCCGGGTGGGTTTTTATACTGCGGACGCGCTTGGTTCTATTTACTTAATATTAGGAAACCACGTTGAAAGATGGTTTTCCCATTTCAATAGTCATCATGAACGATCTTAAATTTTATCCGGGAAGGTTTCTAGATGATCGGGGTTTCTCCGAACAGAAAGAAGAAAATTAAGACGGATTCGATCCAAAACATATTGCAGTATCCTTCGACGAGTTTCCGTACGGCGCAGACGAGTTAGTAGTAGTATATACTACGCACTTACAAAAGGGGCTACGTGTTTCCCACAACTGTGGACTGATTGGACATCGTTGGACCAAGAGGCGAGAGTAAACGGACGAGCGAGACCAACCCAAATTATTGTTGCTTCAATATTATTAGGTAGGTACCTATTTGTATTTATTCGGTTGTTGGTTTTTGTAGAGCCATACCCTACAGCGTCTGTTCATCTTGCGACTCTAGTATATGTCGGGCCTCGGGCGTCATTAAGAATCGCCGGCTTGCGGCGTACTGTCGGCTTATTCTTGAAATATTGCAAAATGCTGATTTGTGGCTGTATTTTGATTCCAAAAACCCAACTTTGCCTAGTGGGTAACCTGGAAAAACGGATGGAGCGTTGTGGTTTGATTGACGTTGTCAGGTGCTATACGACTATCCCGAAAATCTTGGTAAGATAGTCGGAAAATTGATGCCCCCAGAGCTCCATCGAATTCTCGTGGTAACTGGTAACTGTTGTAATCGATGATTTTAGTCTAAATTTATTCAAAAATCTTTAAAAAAAAATTATTTTACTTGAATACGTTTTTCTATGTTGCTCGTAGGTCTATCTGAAAGAGAAAACAAAGACTGCGCTGACATCCTCTTAAGATAATAATTATTGTCAGAGTAGAGAAATATACAATGATCAGTTCTCTAGCTAACCCATTCTCTGGACTAGTGGACTGAGAAGAAAAGCATAATCATTTTTTTTTAGTCAAGGGAAATCCACTTGTTTACACATCAATGTCTTCACTCTTGCCATGAATAAAATTATATAATTAATAAAAATGACTCTTGTCCCTTACTACGATAGGTACGTTAATAGACATGTCGTGTGGACGTTTAATAATGTATTAATGTCACAATAGTAGTAGGTATACAACAATTATACCACATTATTACTGAGATTATATAGTTCTACGATAGTTCTATCTTCTATATTATAATGAAACTTGAATCTTAAAATGTGTCTCTTATTGATAGCTCGGGTATTGTCTATGACAGTGCTTCTCAAACTTTTTTGACACAGGGCCCCCTAACTTTAATATAAAACTGTCAAGGCCCCCTCAATTAAAATCATTAATTATTTTTTCTCAATTATATACTTAAATTGCATGTACTATTTTTACATTGATAAATCAATAAAATGCACAGTAAATTATTGTTTTTTAATTAACTTTTGAAAAAACTTTATAATAGTATTGAAATTTAAATATGTATAAATGTAAATAAATTGGTAATAATTATAAAACTATACTAAAATATTCAAAAAAAATGTTGATTGCTATTAATGCGACGGGTGAGCTTGTATATTTTTGCATAGCATATTGATATCTGGTGTAATTTTAAGTCGAAAATAACTGTAGTTTTTTTGTTCATAAATGCTTTAATCAATATAGAAAATAGTTCAAAAAATATAAATATTTCACGGCCCTCCAGTAAAATAGCCACGGCCCCCTGGGGGGCCGCGGCCCACAGTTTGAGAAGCACTGGTCTATGAGACTATGACACGGCGATGAAATTAAAAGAAGCCCCAGGAAATGTTGGAATAAAAATCAAGAACAAAATTGAACAAGTACTTGACAAGATTTCCGATTTGAAGACAATTGAATCATTTGAATCCATCGCAAACGTTCACAATGACAGCGATGCACGATATTTCCGTGATTTCAGTCCTGATGAATTAGGAGATTTCAACTTCTGTAGACGTGGAAAGGTCCTTAAGTTGCTACAAGAACATATTGCACCCCAATCGACTTCGAATTACATTTGAAAATTTAAAAAAGTACATGGTTGTTCATTGTTTTGCTGACGCGAGGATCCTAATATTGAATAAATAGTACCTAGAATATAAACAGCAATATTATACAATTATATACCTTTATATAATTACAATAATAATTTTTTGTACATAGGTATCTTTTATTTTTAATTATATATACATATTTTTGAGTTTTAAATACATATAAATCCTATCAGTTATATATCTTATATCTGTGATGATTATACATTGTCCTGACTTTCCGAGATTACAACTTATAAGTATAAAAACACGAAAAGCAAATTAAAAAAAAAAGTTTTTCGATAGCCATCTTATTAATTTGTAATCTTCTTTTTTTCAAACAATTAATACGTTTCCACATATTGTAGGAAGTGAAGACGTTAAAATGGCAGAAATGAAAAAACCCATTCTGCCAACAGTTGGACTGCTTCAATATTGTTATTGGTTCTTGGGGGATCATCATTCATATCATCAAACAATTCCAAGTTCTACTCGGTTTTATTAAAAGATTGTCTTTTCATTTAATTCAGTAGTTTACAGTTTTACACAACTTAATTACAACTCCACATCAACAAATCCACAATATTGGTATTGCACTAAATTATTGTACATACCTATATCTTCTAAAACATAGTTCAACTCGATTAAATCAGATTATTTCGATTACCTATAGATAGATAGGTACCAACAACTACAACTGCTGCTGCACCTGAGGCTAATTTCCCATTAGGCATTGTAGGCAGGCAGGCAGCAGCTGGCCGCAAAATTCAAAAGCGGGTACCGCTCCGCTGTACATCAGGTGTCTATAATGATTATGTTAAATTTGAATTCAATGATATGATATCACGGTACACGAAAAAAGATTTTGAACGAAGACCTATAATATTACTGGTAGCGGAATATTTCATGGTATTTACTATTATTGTGAAATAAGTAATTTATTTTAATAGGTATATAATGAGCATTATAAAAAAAAATAGTATACTGCAGTATGGCAAGGTTTATAGATATATTATCTATAAACCTTGGCAGTATGGTAGGTTAAGTTATCAAAAAGATTGCATTTGAAAGTGTCATTGTGTGTATAAAATATAATAATACACGTACCTACTCTCAAAGTTTCAAATACCACAAATAATATTTTTAAATTATATTAAAATAAATTAAATCGTTATTTTTATGGTGTATAGAAAATGTTTTAGTGAACATTTCATGTACCAATGGTCATATATTATAGTGTTACACCAATAACCAAAATCAATTTTGTCGAAAACCGATAGACACAAAAATTTAAAAAAAACACATTGTAAAATCAATCCATTTGTTCCTCTGCTCAGAATCTAAAAACCATGAATCACGCCATTAATATTCAATATTTCGGAAGTTCCCGCAATTTGATAACACTATCTATGGTCGCAATAATCATTCACCACTGATTAGTTAAGTGAGCATAACCATTAACTGTGATAAGATTATATTTAAATGTTTTTTTTTTCCAATGATAGAATGATTTTAAATCTCAAATCTTAATAGTTAATTCTTCGTTTGTGGATCGTGAGTCGTAATAATTGAACATTGAAGTGTTTCATTTTACCGTAGACCGTAATCAGTGCGACATTTGCGAGTCCGTGAGAAAAACGAATTTTGTTTTGATTACGAAATATTGAGCAATCCTTGAACGATCGTTTTCCAATTTCGACCCTCAACAATCATGGACAGTCACATCGAAGATGATCTCTTGAAATTGTTAGACGACAATCGTTTGACCGCAGCGCAAGGGACGTCCGACCGAAAAAACGTATTATTCGTCGTCGGCATGTCGTCAGCCGTCAAGAAATTAGAAGAGTTCATTAGTAGTAATGCTGAGAAGGCCAATATGAAAATCGGTATCATCGAAAACGGACTTGGTAAGAGCACGATTTAAGATATACATACCTTATATTTTATACCGTTGGGGAGGGCATAGTAAAGAGATAAGGGAGACAAACCCAAATTGTTAGTTCAACTATTTATTCGCTTATTGGTTTTTGTAGCGACCGAAGAGCCATTTTACAACGCCATTATATCGGGCTTTGGGGAAAATGACAATGTATCATGTGACTTGATGTTGCTACAAACATACACTGCACTGCTGACTGCTGGCGGCACACTGATTGCGAAAACTGTAGTAGGAACTGGGAATACGCTGGTGAAACATATGAAATTGTGCGGTTTCCTCAATGTTGCCATGAGCGAATCCGTTTCAGGAGTGGTCATTGGCAATATGCCCACGTACAAGGTAGACACACGACTTAAGTAGATGTGTGTAGTTTAGGTTTAGAAAATAATTTACTTAACTGTGTGAGCTCATTTTTTGTTGTTACCAGGTTGGCTCCAGCGACAAAGTCACATTGAATACAGGGGCAAAAGAAAATGTAATTTCAGCGTGGAAATTGGAGGATAATAATTCTGAAACCATATCTGAGGATGATTTATTAGAAGCTGATGACTTAAAAAAACCAGATTCTTCCTCACTCAGAGGTTTGCAATTAAATAACACTAAAACAAATAAATTATTAACATTATTACTATTTTAAATTGTGTTGCCTAAACCATCAGTATGCGCTACTACCAAAAAGGCTAAGGCTTGCAAAGACTGTAGTTGTGGATTAGCAGAAGAACTCGAAGCAAATCGTCTGAAGGACACACCCAAACCAGACACTTCCAACGCCAAGTCGTCTTGTGGAAGTGTAAGCAAAATTATTGTACTCATTCTAATATGTTGTAATACATTAATACATTAGTATTGACAAAACCTAATATCCGAAATTCAATTAAATCTCAAATTTGAACGACTATTTGTTTTTTCAGTGTTATCTGGGCGATGCATTCCGCTGTGCTAGTTGTCCGTATCTAGGTATGCCAGCTTTCAAACCGGGCGAGAAGGTTCAACTTGCTGGAAACTTGTTACAGGACGATTTCTAATCAATACGTTCTATCAACAAAATTCAACACACACATAACTAGAATATTTATATAACGGTATTTTAATTATAATAATATGTACAGACATCATAAATATGGTGATTGAAATAAATAAACAAAATATTTTTTTTTATTCAAATGTATTTTTTCCCCTCAAACCAAAAAAAATTTAAGGGCGGGCGTTACAAACATCATGGTTACAAATGAAAAAAAAAAATTTTAAATGAGTTTTAACATTGAAAATGTACAAACTAATTTAATTTATATAACTCAGCAGTTTAATCCACTAAGCTATTGGCAGTCTGTCAAATGTTTATACAATTAGTAAGTAACATAAACACTGAAGCCGTGCGTACAAGATATATTATTATAACATATTGTATATACACATGTAATAAGAAAAGTTTTATAAATTATTATTCAGTTCAGTGATTTTTTATTATGTTTGTTTTTTAAGCGTTACATATTCTGCAATATTAAAAAAAATTATAATAATGATAATAAAAAAAATCTTTATCCCTTATATCTAAAAGTAAATGAACTTAATTTGATATTAAACATAAAATTGAATTCATTGACTTAAGACTAAAAACTATTAGCAAATTGATATTATTTTTTAATTTAAACATTTTAGGGGGTAATTTTTTTCCATTCGGAGCAAATAATTTATTAAAAGAATGATTTTTTCAGATGTTTGCTTTTTGTTTATTGAGAGCAAAACTTTCCAGGTACGTGTGTTGAGTAGGTTTGTGTAGACGTAGCATATTCAGTGCATCTTCTAATTTAAACCATTTGCGTTTTCGACCTTAACAAACAAACAAAACAATAACATTAAGTTTGTATTTGTAAACAAACTAAATTTGAACATAACTAATACTTAAGAAAAATTGTTGCAGTGAAGAAACTTATACATAAGAAAATTAAAAAATAATAAAAATAAAATTTACAATTTAGTATTTACACAATAACAAAATACACCTTATATGTAGAGAGCCGATTTGTACGAATTAAAAACCAACCACCAAATATTGGCAAAAAAATGTTAAATATATATGCTTAAATAAATTCAAAAAATATTAATAAAATATTCTAAAATGTTCAAATATGCATTCAAAAAATAAGTTTAACTAAAAACTAACAAAAAAGAAATTAATTTCCTGAATATTTAATTTAAACTATGGAACTCTACTCTAAATACTTTTATTTAAAATATCAGTGATTTATGGATTGTTTTAATCTATGAGAAAAACATATAAATCAATTAATATAAAAAATGTACCCTAAAAAGAATTTAGTTAGGGGTACGTTAATCATCTGTGTTTTGTTGTCAGTTTTAATTCATAAGAAAAAAATTAACTACCAAAAATATATCAGAAAACCATTTATACCTACGAGTTTATTTATTTAATTCTATATTAAAATAGTAATTATTTCAAAAATGTCTAAAAACACTAAAATATGCAATTAAAATTGAAACAAACAAATTTCTTGTCATGAAACAAATTCTGTGCACGCTTGGCATATCATACAATCAACAAATCCACGCTCTACTTATTAGTTATTATATTAATGACACCAAATAAAAATAAAGTTAAATAAACAAGAAATTGCAACTATCATTTGACATTATAGCTTTTAAATGTATTTATTTTTTTCATTTTTTCCAATAGCAAGTACCTATGTCTAGATGTTTATATAAGCAATTTGTGTTAGGAAATGCCATATAGCCACAGCTGCTTTAAAAGAAGTTTCCGCACCATGTATGCTAATCAGCTAAGTATCGAATTTCAGAAAGTTGTAAACATAATTTTTTTGTAAACAAGTCCACAATAACAAAAACATAACATAAATGTAGATATAGATTTCTCCAGATTGTCAATAATTTATTAAACTCCAAGGTCACTTCCCCTTGAGATTAAAATTCTACTATAGATACCTATCTAAAACCTATTACTCACTAGTTATTATGTTTACAATAACCTGTCCTACTGCCATACAAATAAACAGATACCAATAACAAAAATGTTGGGAACATAGTTCAATGTGCATGGTAAACTGGACATTAACTATTTTTGTGTTGAGATGTTTTTTATCTTACTATTCAACCTACAAAAATTATTTACTAGTAAATATTATTTATAAACATAACATGATAGTTTTGTCAACTGTTTATGTGCATACAGTGTTTGTCCATATTAAACAATTTGAAAAGCTTATTGTATTTAACTGCCATTTTATGATAATTTTAAACATTGTTGTAGATCCTATGAACTCAAAATAATAATCTTAATACACTTGGTTCTGTTTCACTGTGACTTTAAAACCTATGATAGTCTATTTGAGCACTTTTCAACTCAAATAATAAATATAAGTTGAATAGTTACTAACAACTGTATAGCAATGTAAGTTTTCAAGTCGGGGCAAGTTACTGGTAGAAATATGAGCGAGAATGTCGAAGGACAAATTTGGTGGAACATTATACTTACAATTTTTTGATAATATCAAAACAATCAATAATCTAAAAACATAGATAGAAAAATACTTCAACAAGATTAATACAGGCACTCATCTCTGTTAAAAACAAGTTATTTAAGAGTGGCTTATTTAAATAAAAATGCACTTATGTATAATTTATCTAATAATCCAAAAGTTATGTTAAGATTAGTTTGCTAATGGACCCCATACCAAGAAAATCTTACATTGCAGTACTATTGTGCTGCACTACTGCAATGTTACAGTAATTAATACAGTATTCAATATTGTTTTTCACCTACAAAGTTTTTTTTTTTTGTAGGATTAGGTAACCTAAATTAGGAACTAACTAACTATGAAATTATCGTAATAAATAAGTTGTAATCTTAACTGAAATTAAAACAACATATCAAGCAATTTACCTTGTAAACTATGATTTGTTGACGGTTTATAACTATCATTTTTATCAATGCCTTATTTTATCTTGACATTATGTTTGCTCACGGGTTTTATTTCAAGTATGACACTAGATGTATTTTCTAAATACACATCAGGAGTCAAGTGAACTCTAGACTATTCGATAATATTATATAAGTTCAAAAATAAAAGCTTATAACTTAACAATTATGCATAAATATAATTTCTATAGGGCTTATTATAATATTAAAACAAAGAATTTATATAATTTGTAGTTAATAAGTATTCAATAGAATTTCAATGATGAGCATCAAAATCAGTATCAAAGTTTACCATACGTTACAATATATTTATCAAAATAAATTATTGAATATTACAAAAATATCAACATTTAATGTTTAAAGGAAATCTCACCTATGCCCAAAGAGTCTTCCCATTCAGCTAGTTCTTCTGTTACAATCATAACAAACACATCTGTTCTATGCCGTCTGATATGAGTCTAAAAACAGTAAATCAAATATTAGACATAAACTAACAGGCAGTTTATTATTTAAAAAAGAAATAATACTAACCCTATCTTCAAATGTACCAAGTCTTCTGTGTAATCTGCCAACAACACCAGCTTCTTCGACTACTTCCCTTAGAGCAGTAGCACTTGGTTCTTCTTCAGGTTCAATACCACCACCAGGTACAATCCATTGTTCAGGTCTACTAGATGAAGTCACCAACAACACCTTCAAAAAGTATCATATACCTATATAATGTGCACAATAGTCTGTTATCATTATTTATAATAAAAATTTGGGGGAATATGAAGAAGAGTACATTTTTTAATGTAGTGTTATTTAAGTTTACCTTGAACTAGATATTTTTATCATACTAGATATAGTAGCAATGCGAATTTCATACCTAACTAATACACAACATAAGTTTACACAGGTTATTTCATTTTCAGTTCTTTTTTTGGCACAATGTCCATGACCTAATAAAAAAAAAATAACTACCCACCTGTCATAGTAACAAAGTATACCCACATCAATAGGCTATAGTCCAACAAAAAACTAAATTATTAGTATCAATGTTCAATATTTATTCATTATTGTTAATTATTGATTATCATGTTTAATACTATATGTAGGTAAATTGTATTTGAAAACCATAATATGAAGTTAACGTGAGGTAAGGAAATGGATACAATTATTATAACACAACATGTATTGATATAAGATTTTAATTTACTCACAGACCAAACAATAACCCAAGTAACGCCATAGTAACTTATAGTTTAGTTTTAGTGGGGAGGCAAAATTTGTGAATCACAAAGAGTCATACAATAAATGAATTGTTTTGCCTCTGATATTGATGCACAATGAAAATATTGTAAAATCTATAAGAGTAATAAGTACTGTTGGGCAATTTACTCTATGAAACCAAATATGCTTATAAAAATGATATAAATAGTTATTGATAAATTTCCATAAATATACATTCATTGAATAATACCTATATTAAAAGAAATACAATTTAACTACTAAAAATACTATTCGTTGATAATCATCATACTATATTAAAAATGCCACATCCATGAAAAATATTGTTAAGCTTTATTTTTATTAATAATCAGGGGGCTTTGTACCTGCTAGCTCTTCTTTCTAACCCCCACTTTTAACTGTAATTTGTATCATTCTTAATGAAAAGAATTTTGAATTATTTTTTTTTCCTTGGTAATTAAATTTATTGAAATTAAAAATGTCCACATTATATTTTTAGATTTTTAAACATAATATTAAAATCAATATCCCCGTTGTAGCTATTGACAAATTCAAAGAATGCATATTTATTTAAATTTATAAAGTTAATAGAGATAATTCTTAGTCAATCTTAATATTTTTGCCCAATATTGGTTATAAGAATATATGACATATGTATATATTATATTAGTTATTTTCAAGTATATGTGGTAACTTATCAGAAATAAAAACAATTAATTTAATTTGGTTACTTTTAGTAGATACACCATAATATGTAATACAATTACCTGGTTTAATTACCTAAATCATCATAATATACTAATGTACTATAAAAAGATAATATTTCACTAATATTTAGTTATTTACAAGAGTATTAGTATATAGAATTTACCCATTAATAAAATTACTGTTTATATAATATAAAACATTATGATCCTAAAATAAAGGTGATAAATATATGATTTTTTTTTTAATTAACTAAATATTTAATAATTGTTTTCATGAAATAAATATATAGCCATATTCAAGTATTAGTTACAGTTGTATTTAAAAATAACCATTGTTTTATAAATTATATTTAAATATATGTAGGTAATTTTAACTCCTACATTCATAACCTTGGAACAGATCCAACATGAACGGAAATTATCACTCAGGTTTCGACAGAATATCCACTTTAAATATGACTTTTGTCAATATTTAAAGAATTTTTTAAATCAATAAATAATTGTAATGTTTGGCTGGGGCCTAATCAAATTACAGTTTGAAGTTTAAATATCTAATATCAATAATTTTGTAAAATATACCTACTAAAATCAATGCTCAAACACTACATTCATTTATTATTTTTCTAACATTAATTAGGTAGATAATAATTAGTTTAAGACTAAGCAAAAATCAAGATAATTTAAGCTACTTAATTACGAAAATACATACATTTGTATAGAATAAACACTTTTTAACAGATTAATGGGTTATATTCTATAGATAAAACTGATAAAAGGTTATTTAAGGTCAATAAACATCTAATTGTAATATTAATTGTCACTAAGCAATATTATTATTATTATTATTATTTATTAATATTATTATTATTATTATTATTATAACATTTCAAATAATTATTGAGTTAAGTGTTATTTTTTGGCATAATATCATTAAACATGAATAAAAAATCAACAGTTGGGTGCCGAAGTTATTATTCCAAAGACATAGTCTATAAAATATGTTACCTACTTAATCTAACTTGGCTTCTGAATTTACTTTGACCCAAATTAAATATGGATTACAAGATTCATGTCATAAATATCAAGGACATACCTTGTACAACTTATGACTTATAATCCAGTTATAACCAGGGTTTGGGAAATTTAGTTCATTTATAGTTTGTGAGGGGACGGGGTAAAATCTTTGAGATTGCTATTTTTATTATATGTAAGATTTTGAGTGCTTATTTTGATGATTTTAGGTTCTTTAGTTTCCAAACTATACTTATAAGTTATATATATATATATATAACTGTCCCATAAAAATATATTGAAAAAGATTCAAGAAATAAATTCTCTTTTTGTATTTTAAACACAATTCTTTTGCCATGTGTTAGGTCGATGAACGATCTAGGTTAAACATATTGAATACAGCTATATTTTTACTAAACCAATTTTTGATTTTTTGACATAAAACAAATGTTAGTCCAAGTTACATTTTTAGATACTCATAAATATATCAAAATTCAACATAAATCTACTACTGACATAGGTTTTGTCTATTTGTGTACTTACAAATCAAATATTGACTTTAAATAGTTTTATTTACTCTGTAAAAGAATAGCAATGTATAACATGTTTAATAATTTTATATGCACACATGGTTAGAATTAAAAGTGAAATTGAAAAAAAATGTATATAACTTAAGCCTAATCAAAATCATTTTACAGTGTTCTACAATTTCAAAGCAATTAAAGCTTAATTACAACAATAGTATAATCCAATTAAACTGTATTTTAGATAATATAAATTAATATTAGAACTACATAGTAAGAACCCAAGTAGTTAGAATTATCTTAAATATGGAGAGATAAATTATTTATTACACAATATAATAACATGGGTTCTATATACCGTTATATTACTTTATAAAAGTATTAGATCAGTCAAATAATAAGCGGGGAATCTGTGTAAAATTTAAAACAAGTTCAAGTACGACAAGAACAGTGAATTAATTCTTAACAGTGTATTTAAAAAAAAAATTGAATTTGTTACTTTCTTTTAATATATTATATTATATACAATATACATATATATATATACATGTTGGTATGGAAAACTTTTAGGTGGGAAAATAAAATTAGTGTTTTTATAATTCTATGTGTATTTATTAAGTTAAGATATTCAAAGATCAACAGTTTACCATGTTAAGAATTATTTTTTTATGGTAGGTACATTATACTATTATATTGTAATATTATAGGTACTATATTATAAAGTGTTAGGTAGGCAGTACTGCAGTAGTAAATATTATGTATGCAATTATTTTTATTTTAAGTCAAATTCTCTTAAGAACATAGCTGCATATGTTTTCAAGTAGTTAATACATAATAAATATACCATATTTTAATAATATTTAAAATTTTACAAACGCTTATAAGTTGTAAAAACTAAAAACAAATATAATTGAAGGGTGAGAACTTTAAACCTCAAACAAAACATAGAATTAGGTACCATAAAATACTCTATAAATTTAATTTTAAATAAATATTTTATCATATTATTTTACTGGGAAATATGGGCTATAGTACTAAAAATAACATTCAGATAAAAAATTACATAAAACTACTTGAAAATATGTCAGGTCTGTTAAAACTATTTATCTTGGTAGTTAAAGGAAACATTTTTATGAGTATATTTAAATTTCGCACTAGTATTTAGTTTCATTACTTACATTACAATATTTCTATAATAGGCAGAATATATAGATAATGCAGATACCTATGTATAACTAATTTAAAGACAATTTGTTTATCTACCTGACTGCATGACTTCAAATACCTTACAAATGTTATTTTTAGTTAAGACTTCTAAGAACTAAAAATAACTAGTATGATAGTAAAAATATATGTAATGGTGCCATTGATTAAATATACTCTATAATCAACAAAGTATAATAATACCTATATATGTTTTATCAATGGTAAATGGTAATACCTATCTAATCTTAAAATTAAATGACTAATAAGTAATAAGATAGAAGAAGGCTAATCAAAAGTAAAGTAAAAATTAAATTAAACCAAACTCCTCCGAATTCTTTTAAATTAAAAGAATAAATTCCATAGGTGGGTAATCTTGCAGAGCCTAAATTTAGTAAAAAGTATGGGTAGATACTATAATTAAAAATAATAACTCCATGATTATAAATTATAACCAATTCTGCACCCTAACCTAATGTAGGTAAGGTAATGATTTATAGATATCAGTATATTATTAACCCTGATCTACAAATCACGAAACGTATCAAAATAATTTAATTTGGACAGTGTCAAAGGTAGAAATTGTAATATACCTACACAGTAACACAAAATATGTGATATGCATATTATGTAGGTCATACATTGTAGGTAGGTAGGTTGTACTCTATATAGATTTCCTAGGTCAAATGATGATAAAAAATATAATGCAAATAAGTGCACAAATTGTACAATATTATTTAGCAAAATAAATAGCTATGATTTAACAACATAAAACAATTACACCGATAACTGTGCAATACATATAATATTAAAAAAAAAATATTCAGTTCTACGGATCGAATTAATTTTAATTGACGTAGGTAGGTACCCTATTAGCATATTACAGCGGTAAAAACTAGAAACATATTATTATTATTATATAAAGCTGTGACGTAATATTAGAATGATAGTGCAAAGTGATGCACTACGCGCAGTGCATTAATGACATTTCAAAAAGTTCAAATTATCATACGAAATATTATAGTATTATTAAAACGAAATTATAATTACCTCGTCGGAATCATTGCGCACACATATACAAGCAGCTCGCCTGCGAAATCCATCCTCGTCATAAATGCGAGTTGAATTCGGTTTATCTTTCATGTTTAGTAAATTAATTGATGTCCAAGTAACCAGGAAAAAATTCTAACGAAGAATCCTCAGGATACTAGGAGTAGATTGTTCGGGAAAAAAATTTAGGCACAACTACGAGACGTATCAACGGTGGTTGACATTTTTCTTCTGAATTTTGAGATTGTGATTTTGGAATACGAACGAGCAATATTGTGACTTTTCTTTTACTTCACGACGAATCGAAATCCACCCGTGTGTACAAGATACGTATACAATATTATAATAATATTTAAACGTAAGGCGACAACGATGGTAGTTTTTGCGAGTTATATAATTATTGTATACGAGCTAAAGCGGATTTAGAATACTAAGTACGAGTAAAAAATGTTTATTAAAAGTAGGTAGTTTAATTTAAAATTAAATTAAAATAAAGAAAATTAATACGGTACGTATAAAATAAAAAAAAAAAATGTAAAAAATTATAATAAAACAAAAAAAAAAATTGAAAAAAAAACGGGGAAAAAAACGGGTATTAAGAATTAAACAATAAGAGATACATTAGACAAATGTCACTTAGAGACATTGTAATCGAAACATCGTACCGTCGTTTGACGATTGCATATCGTTTCGTACGCTGTTCGTCCGGACAACCATAATCGTGACGACGGCGACGGCGGCGACGACGGGAATGGGTGTCAAAGTCCAAAAAAAAATTGATGCGGCCGAGAAGCCGAGAACGCGCACGGGCGGCCAACGACGTGAAAAACTAGCCAATACGAATGCACGGCTGACGGTGGTGGTGATGTTGGTAGCGGCGTAGCGCTGGTTGCGACTTGTGGTGGTGGCCGCGTTGGCGTTGGCGGGGTTCAGGGGTGGTGTTGTTGGCGGGGTGCAGGAGGCGGTGTTGATGGTGGTGAACTGTTACTCTATGAATTGTGCGCACGCGCACGCGGGTTTGTACCGAGTGTCCGCCGTCGTCCGGTGCACGCGCGTGCGCGATGCTCAAATGCACCCGTCGGCCACCGCCACCGATCATATTCTTATATTATCCATAGACGTATTATTATCATAGCCATTATTATTATTATTATTATTATTATGTATCGTGGCATCGTACATTCGAGCGCGCCATAGAGACGAGCCACGAGCGCATAGCTGATGTGTGCGCGGGCGGGCGGCGATCGAAGCGATCGCGCCACGAGAGACGGTAAACGGTTACCGGCGGGCGGCGTTGCCGCGTTCGCGCTTGTACCGCGGTTACCCCGCCACCTACGTTTTTATATTATTTTTTATACGGCGCGACGACTCTATGGGCCGCGTGGTGAGTGTAACCGCGTGTGAACCATCAACCACTGAACAACGCTCGAGCGCTCGAATTCATAACAAAAACGTGGTAGGACGAGACACGCCACCGACCACCGGGAGAATGCAAACATTCAACGCGGTCGGTGTGGCGCGGTGGCCACGTTGCGGGTCGCAAGTACTCGCAACCTCGCCGTCCAAGAAAAATGCCATTTTTTTTTTCTACCACCTCACGCCACAAGGTCCTATTTGACGTGCCCACGTGACTATATTGAAAAACATTAGGTTTTTTTTACCAAGTCCCTTGTCGTTATACAACAACAATCGTGTCTTAATTATTCATAACACATTCTTTACGTCAGACGAAATGTATAAAATCGATTACTTACATAATATATTATTAAAAAATTCGGAACAATTTGTTTTTTGAAATATTTAAACTTTCTAGACATTTGTGAATAATGAATATAATATTTAAGTAACTATCGTATTTCATTTCTCTTTCCGACCATCGTCGTCTTGATCGGTTGTAGACATTGTTTTGGGTCATACACTGTATCGATACCTAATACCTATAATGAATACTGAATACTGATAAACTTGTATTCACTATTTTGTTATCGCGTATAGTAGTTCGTAGGTACGACCTTAGATCCGCGAATACGAGTTGTCACAAATAATTATTTTGATCCTAGGGGTACAAGCGCGCGCGAAGAGTAAAATATGATTACGAAAAGCGTGTGTGCTTGTTGAATTGCCAACGGGATCGCCGCCTTGGCCCGACTCTAAAATATTACTCTCATTACAGCTAGCCATAAAAATCTGAATAAATTAATATCGTATTTTATTGTTCCGTGGCCGTGGCCCGACGGAGGCGCCAAATTGCAGGTAAAAAAAATATTTCATACCTATATTACTATCAGTGGTTTTTTACTGGTTTATACAACTACGATTCACAATGTATCAGTTATAATATTTGCATTTTCATACCACAACACCGCATAAGCAATTATTATAAACTGCAACCGTGCGAGGCTGTCGATACTGATGATTGATTAACAATGAATCCCCATCACCTCAAGTAAATATTTAAAAAAAAAGTTTCTCAAGAATAGATCCTTAATTGGACTTTGGACTACTCCAAACTCAACACAACTCTTGACATAATTGATCGTTATTCATTGTTACAATTTACAATATCAATGAAAGTAAAATTATTTATTACATTATTACAATATATTAATATATTATATAATATGAACACAGAACAATTTAAAATATCTATTTTTTACGACAAAAATAAACTCGGGGTTGCTTTTGTCTTGAAACATTTCGATGTTGTTTGCAGGGTGGTATATTCTATTAACTGACAGGTGTAGTACAATAACAAAGCAAAACCACTACAACCAATAGAGACAGATCATGTACCTATAATATTTTAATGTGTTAGCCGTTAGGACGTGTGAGTACAAACTATTACTAAAAATTATTTAAGATATTTTGTTAAATAATAATTGCCTTTATTAATTATTCAAAGAGTGTAAGTACATAAGTCGTATCAACTACCTATTTAGAGATTGCAGTTTATCCGGTGTTTTCAACATACAAATTATTATATTTTTTTACTACGCAGAAATGCAGAATGCAGATACGTATGGAATAAATTATATAATTTATAAACAATTTATATCAGTAATATATACAATTTAATATGCACTTATTTGAAAACATTAGTAACGCATCTTACATTCTTAAGCATCCGTAAAACGTATACACAGTTCCAAAATTGTTTAGAATAATAAATTAATGACCAAATTATTTTATACATTTCGTTACAATAATAATTATGATATTTAACAGATATCAATACTATATTCTGCTTTCATCGTGTTTCTTAGAACTATAGGTTAAGATAAGAAATTTAAAAAAACCCCGAGGATATCTCATTCTACTGTATAGGATACATTTTGATTTTTGAATACACTTCGTCTTCGTGTCTTCGTTATTTATTAGGTCACTATTATAGTTAGGTCACCATAACGGACGTGTTAAATTTGAATTCAATGGCAAATCACTGTTTACAAAACATGATTTGCTAGAGTGCTAGACGGTGTATCAGTCTCGATTTCTAAGGATATTTTAAAAATGTATAATTACAATATTACAAATGTACAAATTAATAATGCAGCAAGTCAAATTAATTTTTCGGTCTTTTTTGTAGATCTTTATTACTTAAATCGCACATTACCTAGGACTTTTTGAACCAGTATAACCTGGTCAAAATCGACCTAGGCTGTATACATACTAGTATATTAGTATCTTCATTCTACAGCCATGATATCGACAAAAGTAATAATATACTTATATGTACCTAAAAAATGGTGAATATACTTAAAACTTTTAAAGTTCCTACGATTATGAGGCTATGATAACAATTTTTTGAATCACAACAAAATAACTAAAATAGTTGGAAAAAAACAAGTTTAGTCCATCCCGGTTATATTCAAAGATACTGAGACATTTTTATTTTTGACTTCCCAAAGTCGGTACCAACTACACTCTAGACCCAATTTGCTTCTAAAAACAACATTCAAAGTTTAAAATTAAAGTATTCATACTATTGTACTGCACCAAAAGGTGATCGTTAATAACGATAATAATAAACCATAAATAGATATATTCGTAGCTTCAACCAGAATCTAAGTAGGCATCAGTTAGTCAAATTTCAAATTTATGAATAGAAGTGGCTACTGCATACAACATTTTGATCTGATGACAATTTTATTGGCACGAAAAGACGTAATAAGTGTTGTACCGTTTGAACATTTTAAATGAAAATTTATTTATTTTATAACTTTCATTATTTTGTCGCTCTATTTAAAATTTTAAATACCTGCAACAAATAATAAATACGAGAATCAAATTATCAAAATCTAAAAACATAATGTATAGAATCTAGAATTATTGAGTATTGACAACTATTCTATTTGAAGTAGGTATTTCGCTAAGTACAATGCGACTATCTTAATTATGCATACTATATTAGTATATAGCCCTATAGGTACGACTGCAGTATGAGGTGTCGAGGTAGGTGACAATAAAGTAAAGTTGTACTAATATTATGCGCATTATGTATTTTAATAGCACCTAAATATTTAAACATTTTAAAACATTAATATAAAATATCATTAGGTACCCAATAGGTTATAATATGCATTACTTATTTCTCCTGCAAAATATATAAAAATATTAAATAATCAACGATAACACAAACATTTTACATACCAACCGATACACCTATAGAGCGGAAAATGGCTATGCATGTAAAATAATAAGGTTGTCTAGGTAGGTGGGTAGGTACTGTATAGTGTGGTATACAAGAGGGGTAATAATGTTAATATAGTTGCTGCGTAAAAACTAAAAACAATCAAGACTGTAGACTGCAGTTAATGATGGTGAGTACCTTCAACCACGACGGCGCTACGTTTTAAAACTACGCATTTAAGAATTTGGCGTCACGAGTAGGTTACATATAAATATGTAATATCATTAATCATCTCCCCAGGACGTAAACAGAGTTGTTTTTTATATTTCATGCTCCGTACCTATTAGATTATAGGTACCTACGTACTGCAATAATAATAACTATGTACCTACCTACCTTTCCAGCAACCAGTGCCCGTGATTCGTAAATATTTATAACTATTATAACTTTGCAATTATTCAAATGTATACTATAGTGGCCGGTAGGTACATAACCGGTCAACCGGATACGTTTATCATGTTGTTTAAATTTGGCTTGCAGAACTGTCAGAATTTGTAAGCACTGGTGCACCTATTTTTTTATAGGAATGTCAAAAAAAAATGTGAGTAGGTAATGAGACGTCCCACCACATGTAAAATAATAATAATAATAATAGGTAATAACTAATAACTAATAATTCATAAGATTATTAACTATGCACAACAAACATATCTATATACATTATTACATTCATACAATTCTTTACTATAATCGTTGTATATTATACATCTTAAAATTGTTTTATATTATGTTTGTATGAAAACCATATAAACATAATAAAGCTATTTTATTTATATTGCCTCTCCTTGTTTTCGACTTTTCATCGTCGAAACCATCAATTAAGATTATAACCAATAGTCAATACGACAAAAATTAGAGTCAATAAATAATAATATAGACGGGAACCTTTGTTTTTGTGGAAATTGTGAAATACTTAACTGGCCTCTATGTAACGTCAATATACTAGTATTATTATTTATTACCAAACAAAATGTATTTTTAGAATGTATTTATTTTATAAAAAACAGTTGTGCAATGTTCGGTAACCATGAATTAAAAATGATTAGATATATTTAAATTAAATACAGAAAACAAATTAGAAGTTGAAAATTAAAACAAATTATTCATTTATACAAGTACCTATCGTTTATCTATTGTGTCGCATTAGGCAGGTACTAGTGTACTATTATGGCACATACAGTCTAGAATAGTACCTACTATTGTAATGAAAAATATCTATATGAATAGGTATACTTTGTTGATTCTAAATTCCATATTTACACTGTAACTGCGTGTAATATCTATACATATGTAACACAAAATATTCACTGGTAGACGGCAGACCTTGGTATTTTTAAATATAAATTATTGACATTCAGGAGTAAACTGAAGAATGACCTTTTTACTAGCAGGTGATAGAAACACGCGTAATATTTTTAAAATATTATATAATATAGGTAAAGCCGTAAAGGTTTAATAATTAATAGGTAGATATTAGGATTTATGATGGATTATAAATAGTAAATACTCTTAGTACCTATATGGCTATACCAGTTCTACGGATACCAGTTAGATACCAGTTCTTATTATAGGTATTTAACTATCAATAATATCAGGTTAGTTCACAAATTTAATGATCGAATACATCAGCATGATGTTATTAGGTAATAGGTATATATACTATTATACATAAATTATTCAATACATTAGCATTCGGTAGGGGATGTACCCGTATTATTTTAATTTTAAATAGGTATTTTCTTTTTGGTAAAATGTATAATTATTCATTTTTCAATTTACTAAAATATTCTACAATTATTGAAGTGTTATTATCCGTATTCGAATGTAATTTTGTCCTCAAAAATACAAAAGGATATACTTGATAAACTATATAGTTCATTATGTCATTATTTGATATACTTAAATCTACGAGAATATTGGAATAATGAGAAATCGACCAAATTTAATTAATAGAGGGCGGAGGATACTTACTGTATCTCAAATTGAACCCCCCCAGTTTTTCAATATTTTAATATCAAGCTAATGATACTTCTAAAAAAAGAAAATTTTAAATTTTTATTATAAATTGTTTTATACCATTAATTAAAGTAAAATAAAAATCAGAGTTCATTGCAGGATGTAGAAAGTCTTCTTCTTTCAGATAAAAAATATAGTTATCAAAATCTGACAATTCTACGAGGCCTGAAGGCTGAAAGTATTAAAATATAATTTTCAAAAATTGTGAAAAATCGGCACCGGGCCACTTGAAATAGATTGGTAAGAATGTAAAATATTAGAACAATATTGAACTACAGGATAGACTAAATTTCATCTATTCTGTGTTAGAACAAATATAGTCTAAATATAGAGGAGATAAAAATAAACAACAAAATATAATATTGGTTATTACTTATTAATCACATAAACACAATACATAATCCTGTTGTAAAGCCAACCCAAGATTAATTTAAATTCTATCACCAAAATTACGAAGTATTTGTAAGCTAAAACCCTAATGCGAGTTATCTACTAGTATTATCTATATTAGCTAAAAGTTATTGATTGAATAATTATATTTTACAAGGATATAGACAAAACACGAAAAATACCATTTTTCCTTGGTCATTTAAAAATGTAAAAAAATAAAAGTACAGTAAAAAATCAAATATTATTTTTTTAAATTAAAATTTCACCTGTATTTTACTTTACCTGTAACAATCAAACAAATACATATTACCATTTATCATACAAAAATATTACAAATATATAATATATATTATCAACAAAAACAATTAGGTAATCGTAGTCTTTTTTCACCAATCTTTTATGCGTCTGACTTCAGTTCGGGGATTTGAGCTTTTCAACTAGGTCAAGTGCAATATAGTAAAATCTAGACGGTCTGCCAGTACATTTGACGCGGACTCTAGTATATTTTCCTTAGTCAAATATTGACATATCATTTTTAATATAATGACAAGTAACTGTGCTATAATAAAAATAGTGATAATATGATACTTGTAAGAAGCCTTCGAGTTGTAATAATTTATGTTTTTAGATTTAAATTCTGTTACAGTAAAATGCACTTATAAAGCATCAAAATGTAGTTGACAGAAATACTTAAATACATTAGTCATACATATCGCAGATATAGATATATAGACCATGTATTATGTATAAAGTATATTGTATAAATATATAAGGTAGGTACACCAGATTATTACAGTATACCGAGTGATCCATTTAACATAGGACAATCTTTATGGTGTAGTCTGACACTACTTACATTCGCTCCGTTTGGGAAAGCTGTGTCAGTCGGAAAAACGGTCAATCAAAGCTGTATACACTATTACAGTATTACTGTTAATAAACTATGCCTCTATGCTTCATGGAGCCCAAACAAATTGCAAGCAGTCCAACCCTCATGCATTGATGTCACTCGGAAAAAAAAGACACTCATTACGTTATTTTAATAACTATTGACGTTTTTGTAAATATTTTTAAGACATTTGGAAAACAACATTTTTTACTTCTTTTTCTAGATATAATTTTTTTAACGTCTTACTTTTGGACTAGCCATTTATGAGTTATGTATATAAAGTCTAAATGGACGGAGTTTAGGGTTCAGTTACAAGGGGTTGTGAGTACACCATAAAACGTTGGTCTACTACTTAAAGTACTTTTAAACTAATAAATTACTAGTCCGAAATTTGATTTTTATAAATCGAAACGGTCAGAATAATCTGCTTTTGAATATGAAATTAAAAATGTTTGCTATCGTGCATTAAAGTAAAAATAGTGAGGTATAATTTTTTCTAAGAAATGTTATTTGTAACGGCTTAATTATATTTACCTGTTACAGAAATATTTTTAAAATCATAAGTGTTTTCTAAAATAATTAGCGTCTTACGTTTAATGGAGCACCCTTATTATATATTACATAAAAGAATAAATATTTATAGCTCAATTTACCAAAATCATATTATTATAATACACATCATTAAATTGGACTTCAATTATGTCACTTTAAAGTTCAGGATATTTTTGTGAGCCAGTTTAAACGGTTATAAATAATTCATTCACTATTCATGAACGTAAAACTGCCACAAGCTTCAAATTTATACGCTAGGTATTGTATATGTATTAAAATGGATTGTTTTTTGTAACAATTCATTATATTAGTTTTAAATGTTTACTAGGTACAAATATATTGAATTATCTCAGATACTGTTACCATTGAAGTAAAATTAAAGGGATTTAACAAAGGAAGTATCTATTATAAATGATGATAAATTAATAATCAAGAAAAAACCATTATACAACTTACACTTATTTATTATGTTTAGTTTTACTTTTGATGGATTTTACAAGATTAGATAGTTCTGGATTAATAATTGATTGTTTGGACTTCTTTTTTGGAGGAATATCAACCTATAAATACAAAATTATTAATTACACAAATGTATTTGATATACATATTATTTTTTATCCTAATCAGTTCTATTATTATGGACTTTGAGAGAATCAAGAATAATTGGGCACTAACCCAGTTCATTAGAACTATGTTTTTAGTGCAACATATTTACAACATTTTTTATGTTACATATTTGTATTGTTTGTAAAATTATAAATATTAATAATAGTTTACAATACCATCTTGCTCTAATAGGACCAAATCAAATAGAATAAACAATGGTATTGTGTCTATTTTTTATATTAAGTGGATGTTACACAATATTTGTTTTCTATCAAACCAGCATAGACAAAATGCATCAAGAGTAAATTATTTTTTATGATTTTTGAGTAATTGTGGAGGAACGTTTTTGAGAGTTTGACATATTGGTTTTATATTTTACTATCTAATTTCATTAATTAATTCATTAATTTCCTTTCCCTTCTCAGTCCTAAACACAGTAGTCACTAAAGGCAATATCTCTGTCCATAATCATTACAGAACAACACTGCCTTATTACTTGATATAAAATCATATCCACCATCAGTGTCTACCTACTATACAATCATTAATTGTATTTTTAATTTTATAACTGAACTCATTATCAGTGGCATTATATCATAATAATGGAGGAAACAAACAAACAAAGAGTGCACTGAAATTCTCTAGATTATCAAAAAGACTATTAATAATATTAAAACTTTTCTAACTTTTTCCATATCGTACTGCTGCCTCCTTGTTGCCTTTTCAGAAATAAATTCTTCCATGCCTTTTGTCCTTTTGAATTTTGGATCAGCAGGGTCAATGTTAAATAGATGTGATGTATATAATGCAGAAAATCGATCATCTTTTACATCAACCTAAAAAACATAAAGATTATTTAAAAACAGTAAATCAATAATTGTTTAATAATTTGGTAACTTACAGAGAAAGCATCATTAACAGATTTCTCATTTAAATTTTTCTTTTTATTCTTTTTTTTCGAGCTTTTAGTTTCTTCTTCTTGTATTTTTTTCATATTAAAGTGTTGTTTTTCACTAGGTTCTTCGTCCATTAATAACAACTCTAATTCTGCTTGTTGTTTGATTTGTTTGTTTTCATTCTCTGAATCTATTTCGTTATCTTTAGTTTCATTTGTTTCTTTTCTTAGTTTTTGTTTTTCTTTCATTCTCTCTTTCTTTTTTTCCATCATTTTCTGGAATGGTGTCATATTTTTCTTAGATTTTTCATCAACTGATTTTTGCACTTTTTCTTGTAAGCCAATACCCCATGAAATTTCTAATTCTGAATCTTTACTAGCCTTTTTTTCTTCTTCATCTTGTATATTTTGTAATAGTTCTTTGTATTTATCAATGGGGTTTTTTTTAGAACCACCATCTTCATTATTTTCCTCAACAAATTTGTTACTTTCGTCATCACTGTCTTCATCTTCTGAACTAAAAGCTACATAATTCTGTAAATCGCTATCATTAATTTCACTTTTCGGGTTTGTCTTAAGCTTATTTACTAATTCACTACGTCTCGGATCTGTCTCATCCCATGTAAGATTCACTTTCGCTTGTTGTAAAGCGGTAGTAGTAAATAGATGAGGTTTGTACTTAGTTAAATCTGGTAGTTTATCACAGACCTCTTTTGGTTCCTACAAAAATGTAAAATTATAAAACATTTAATAATAGAATAAGTTTATTATGCATATTAAAAATATTCAAGACATAACTCAAAGAATTAACATTATATCATAATATAGTATTGTTAAATTATTTAATTTTTATTTAATACGAGCATAGATCAAAGTACAGTAATAATAAAATTAATTAACATGTAAATGGCAATTCAGAGGAAGTGAAACAGAACTAGGTATAGATTTGTGTAAGAACAAAGGGTATAAATTAGCAAGGTAAATCATACGGTTAATTAGATTGTTTGAACTACAATAAGTGATGAGCATAGGTATAGCTAAGTGGAAGTAGAGCGAGGTAGACATGGAGGGACTTGAAAAATAAGTTAAGAAGCATAGGTGCATCTGTAAAACCGTCAATGAGGTTTCCGAGGAACTTCATGTTAATGTCAATTCTTTCATCAAGTTACGTCATAGACCAAGCTCGCAGAGAACTGGAGAGTAGTCATGTAACAGGGGGGGGGGGATCCTCAACACATGACTGGCATTGGATAGAAAGAGCCTTTGGACTAGCTCGATGATTATAGAGTCAGAGGTCGTGTGGGAATCCCACAAAACTGAACCATATTCAAGTAGGAGTTGCACTAAGGAATAATAGGAAGTCTTCAGCGGAAAGGTAAGTTTAAAGTCAGATAATATTCACCTTTGAACCCTAGAGGCCTATATGCTTTGCAGCGTATTGATTGGATGTGATAGTGGAAACACCTGAGGAACACCTAATGAAATAGAAGAAACTTCAGATTTACATCTATTGATTTTCAACAGTTGACACCTATCAGATAGGTATGATTCAAACCAAATCAATAGCAGATCACCAAACCCAGTATTTAATTTTTAATTAGATCAAATAAAAATATCACTAAAAACACAAATAATAATCACTCTTTAGTTTTTAATAACTAAAACACACAAACAAAATAATTTAGGTTTAATGAAAAAATGATAATTATATTTAATTTAACCGTTATAGATGATATATAACTCTTATACATAAGCATTTTTTAATTTAAAATAAATATTTCATTATAATATTATTACATACCTATCCATAGTAATTTAATAGTCTTTAAACATTCTCCTGAATACATTCTGACATAAATAACAACAATTTCACTACTTATAATTTTAATTAAATTACTTTCTACACGAGTTAGATTCCTTTCTCCATTTAATAAAACCAATTTATTCTACTTTTATCATTCATAATTATTTTTCATTTAACATCATATTCAAATAATATATGTTTGTATCAACTATCAAACAACTATATTTTATGACCAAGCGTGGAATTTTTTAGTGCAAAACAAAAAATTCTGGCAGCTTTAGATACATAGCAAATGATAGATACTTATTGGTACTGTGTTATATTTGTTGTTAATTATCAAACATATAATTACTTGATCAAATTCAGTATCATCTGGTACAAATCGTAAATCTAAACGTGTGGCACTGCTTTCATATTCTATACCATCACAGTCTGTATATAATTTACCAGCAGTTCCAGGAGAATCGCACACAATAATAGCATAGTAATATTTAAGTCTTGCTAGTTGATATTTACGTAGTTTTTCCATGTGAAATTTACCACCTTCTTCTTCTTCCTAGTAATAATAAAAAGAAAACATGTAAGCAACTTTAAATAAGGCAACAATGGTTTACCAAAAATATTTTAACTGTACTTGATCACTATCATCGGATGAACCAATTTCCTTAGGGTTATTAGAAATTAGTTCAGGAGGCCCTTTAAGTTCCTCTTCTTGCATTCGTTTTAAACCAAAATCAGATGGATAAATCTATATAGAAATATTATATGTAATTTTGGTAAAAACATTCATTTATAAACTTACAGTTACAGATTTGATGTAACCATCACTAGGTAAAAATGAATTAAATAGAATCATCAAGTCAGCTGCCTGAATTCTGTCCCAATCCATATTACACAAGGCTAACCTAGATGTGGCTTCCTCTACATTATCAGCGTCTTTGTCTAATTCTCCCCAACAATGTTCAACGTTTTCTGTATATTAAGAATAATATTAATACAAAATATTTATCAGTAATAAAATAATATGATGTATAAAGAAGAAAAATGTTTGTTCAGGGTAATCTCTGAAACTACTTATTTCAACTGATTTTAAAATTTGTTTATTATTAGAAAGCTACACTATCCCAAAGATCTATCAACCAGCAGGGATGGTAAACCTTTTTGTTCTCAAATAAAAATGTTGGTTTGATTTTATTTTACCTGTGTGACTGCATGTCAAACAATTTGATGACCCTAACTTAAAAAATTCCTATATCTATGGCTTGAATAATAAAAAAACAAGTTGAGAGGGTTACTAAAAGCGTGTCACTTCATGACTTCAGTGTCATAGATTTGCCATTTCTGATCTATAGGCTTTATTTTATCTCGATAAGTGGCCCTAAATTTTTATATTGAGGATTTGCAATTTTTTTTAAATAATAATAAATAATAATAAATTTTGTTTATTATAAGGTTGCTATTGATTATATAAAATAAAATACTAATTATGATTGAATTTAATTTTGAACCCACATTTTATAATGTTTTAGAAATAATGGTTTAGTACCTATGGTTTTGATGGTTTTGACCAATTATAAATTGTAGGTTCAAAATTATATTCAATCATAATAAGTATTTTGTTTCATGTAATCAAAAGCAACTGTAAGAGTAACTGGTTGTTCTAGGAACCTGCACGCATACACACGTGGCACTCAACATGTTAATAGAACATTTGTAATTTATATATTTCTGTATATACCTATTAAGTAGTTACTTACATTCATCTCCGTCATTTTTTTTTTCTAATAAGTAATGGAGTTTTCATTTAATATAATCAATACCAACATAAGGAAAGTAAAAGTAAAGTAAAAGTACGTTGACTTGGAGTTTCTTACTTTTGTTATTAAAAGAGTCATTTATTATTTTTACTATAATTTTTTTTTATTATTATACATTTATTTTATTTTTAACATTTTTTATTAAGAAATTAGCAATTAATTATTTCTTATAACTAATTAGGTACTGATAAAAAAAAATTATTTCACCTATACAAGGCTAAAAATGTTAGAAAAAAAATAGTTATTATGATTGAGTATAATTTTATAACTGTGCATGTTTGATAAAAATCTATAATGAAGATTAAGATAGGGTAAATCCATGGGAATTTGTCATAGAAAGTTTTTAACATCATAACACCGGGTATTAAATGACAAATTGAACATATATTTTGATTCATAAAGGTATTTTTAGTGGCAACGAAGAGCACGGAGATCAACTAGTTAAATATAAAACAATACTATTAACTTTTACAAATAATATATTTACCTTCTTTTTCTTCATCAGATGTATCGTCATCTGATGAGCTGTCAGACATCAATTCACCATCGCCCCTAGCATAGTCTACTGTTTTATCTTTTAAGCGATCTTTGATAGTTTTACTGATTATGTTACTCTTTACATCATCATCATCATCATCCTCTTCAACTAATGTCTGCTCTTCTGACTCAGATTCTTCAGCAATGTCATCACTAGAATTTTGTTCAGCATCCGTGTCTTCTTTTTCATCATCGGACATATGATAAAACTTTTTAAAGTCATCAGTTGTAGAACCACGTAGGGGTTTTCCTCTTTTATCAATAGTATATTTAACTTTAAATCGTTTGTCATTAAATATTGATTGAAAACGTTTGTCAATCTTAACTTTTCGATCAGCTTTAGGCACACGCCTAAACTTTGGATCATCGCCAATTTTAGAGAATCGTTTATCCATGATGAGTATTGTATCTAAAATCAATAAAATAATGAGAAACAATGTTTTTGAAAACAAGTATTGTTTATTTAACTAAGTAACTTAATAATAATGAATGGAATTATATGGTTAATAATCATATTGATTAAATAATTAAATCACTTACCTATATGGCTATATATTATATTAAATCAAACAAAATTTCTGTATGAATTTTATTTTGTTTGAATTTTTGATTTAAGAACAATTTAAATAAATAATTGTACTTTATTATACGAAGTAAGATATTTCTTGATTATTAGACATGTTATCATTTTTATTTTTTATACTATCAGACATTCAGACATGCACGTGTTTTTTATCAACAATTACAGTTATTCTGTAATATCATTAAACATAAATTGTTGTGCTTACAATTAAATTATTTTATTGGTTATGTAGATTGAAATTCACAGATATGTATATATAATATATAGAATAAAGGATTATATTCTGTTTAGTCACGGACTAAAATATAAATATATAATATCCTATTCCTATACACCCAGTATAGTGTGTATTATTTAAAATTTAAATCTTAGTCCGTGGATCATAATAATTAATAATAGGTAAAAAGTTTTCAATTTAGAGATTACCACTGTATACCATGACAAAATAATTTATTTTGTCATGCTGTATACAATCTTAAATTGAGCTGAAAATAATTACCTTATACATAATATTGATATTATTGACATGATTATGGTGAATTGGCTTCCAATAAGAATAAATAAATTATGATGAAAATTGAGTGAAATATCAACTCATTTATGTGTTTTTAAACTTTACTGTTAAAATTATTAATTCATGGCAAAAAACCCAAAATAATTTATTGATTTAAGGCTAAAATATTGTATATATCAGTGTTCTCAAAGTTATTGAAAAATTGAACTAACCATTTCATTTTTTTTATAATAAGAAATAAAAGAAAATATTATCACATAATATAATTAATCAATATATTTTAAACATATAAGTATTATTAAATGATAAATAAATTGAGGGTCTTAAAAATTGTTCAAATTCATCAACATAGAAACATTGTTCATATTCAATTTGTCATAATTCAGAGGTTATGTAGGTGTTGTTCATGTTACCTTTAATTTGCTAATGTAAAGAAAGCTTAGGAACTGGAGTACCACCCTTAGGAGTATATAAATTATACACATAGAAGCAGTAATTTTACCCGTGAAGAAGAGACAGCAATTAAAATCTTATTTTTTTAGTTGATTCACTAAAGGTGAAAGAATCTACGTAGATTCTATGATACCGTTCATCATAATAAATTGATTTGTATCATATTTGCTTATTCAAGAAATATATTATCTTATAACTATTTTAGACAGAATATATACATGTATAATGTTTTTCTATATCATATAAATATTTTATTTTTGAACAGATGTCAAAAGTTTTTGGATCCATAATATACACATTAGAAATCATTATTTAAATCTGTGGCACAACCAAGTTTGAAGGTTCCCAAGACTGGTTTGTGTAATAGGAAACAGTCTACTCCTAACTAGTAATTACAATTATTAAATATGAATATCAACAACCTTTATTTTAAATAGTTAGGTAGATTTGCTGCATTTCAATAGTGCTATATAATTTTAGCATATTAAGAAACTAAAATGGCAGTGAAGGGAGCTATACTTATACCTCAACTATGGACTAACAGGGGCCACAAAGTCCAAAAGATTAAAATAATAAAGAAATGAGGTCTAAAGAGAGAGAAAAAAAATCTTTGTAAAATTGTTAAATTTTTATAATAGTAATATTAAAACAAATAAAATTGTAGGATATGTTGACGGTCCAGTTTTTTGTCTTGAACCGTGGTCCGCTAGTTGCCTACAATTGGTCCTTTACACTGCCACTTTATGTTGTTTGATAGCAATGTAGGTCTATGTGCAATAACCTTGTATATTTAGACCATGATTTCAATAAATATATTATTTTTTACTTAATTAACTATAATAATATTGAACATTAATTTTATTAATTCATTTTATTTGAAGTAGAAAATAAAATTGTAATTATTATTGTAAATAACACAATATTGTATTTTAATTTGAAATCATCATACAGGAGGATTTGTAATTTACATAGGATCTTATTTTTTTTTTCTTAATTACATGGTTTGTACATTATTTTTTGCCCGATTTCTTGATTCCGCCACTGACCATTGGTCCTTTTTGTGCGGCTTTTGTCTTAAGATCATTCAATGCTTTTTGTTGTTCTTTTAATTTTTGTTTCATTTTCAAGTCATCTTCATCTATTTCTTTAGATTCTTTCTTCGGGTTTTTTAAAGGCTTCTTTTTTCCTCCTTCACGTCCTGACATATTGCTGCTAAGACATAAAAAAAAATAAAAAATAAAAAAAACTATACACCACAAGATAAAACAAACATTGAATATTATGTTCCTTGAAATTGTCAATCTTAATATAGGTAACGAATTATTTCATGAATCAAAAAATACCCATGGATTTAATGGACTTTTTGATCTAAAAGCCACCATAAAAAATCGAATTTGATGTTCAAAATCAAAACGATATTCAACTAAGATGAATCGTTAATATGAATACAACTTATTACAATATATTTCGAACAATCAAACACAATACTGAATAGGTACTTTGAAAAGAAAAAGTTCCCGTGACGACCAATTTTTAAGTAGCTAGGTAGGTAGTAAATTAAGTAAAAAATAATTAATTTGTATCAATACTTACGAATAGTTTAGCAGAGTTGGTTACTGAACGAAATATTATTCAATGATATTTAAAAATTTTAATATCACTCAATAATAAATAATACTTAGCAGTGTGTGCTTGTCACCCAGTCAGCCTATATGCAGCTTCAAGTTTCAATTTTCAACCCAATGCTGTCTGTAATACCGGAATCGGTAACCAGATAGCAGAAATCAGTTACCTCTAGTTCATGGTTAGGACCACGGGCACTATTCAAGGAGATTAAATACATTGTACGCCAAGGAATAATAGATTTAAAAAATGGTCGATATAATAATTAAATAATACCATGAAAAAATAGATCTAGGTACCTATTTAGTATTTAGAATCTATTTAAATATTATTTTGTCATGAATAATATAGCAGTTTAAAATATTTATGTATATATAACTTATTGTAGCTTATTGAAATATTAAAATATAGTATGCGAAGTAATATTTTTATTTTTCATTGTTACTACTTAGGTACTATTAGCAAATGCAATTGAAGGTAGTAATATGAATATGATTTTTACCATAGACTAACAGTAAGTCCATGATTTTAACATAATATAGAATCTTCCGAATTTGTACGTGATAGTAGATTAAATCACTGTCATACTTAAATTATGAAAAATGACCAATGTGAAATCAATTCACTTTAAGATTCTGAGCGGAGCGATGAATGTGATGAATTTACAATGTGTCTTTCATTTTTTTACAAGATAAGTAGCTTTGATTTTGAACTTCAGTATCTGTTATGGTACGAAAGTGAGTCTAATTAGTGCGTTCAGTACATTAAAATTTAAAATTCAGTGTAGTTTTCAAAAACGCAGAGAAAAACAAAAAAACATTAAGGTAAAACGGGAATTATTACCTAAAATTGGTTTTTGGCAAAATCGACTTTAGCTTATGGTATAAATTTAGTATAAATGATCGTATAAATACATGCATTTTTCCCTAAATGTTTGTATTAGCATTTTCTGTAGGCACATCATCAAAATATTTTGACTGATGTTGGGCTATTTATAGGTGAATGTAATTTTTAATTAATACCAGTTTTTTTAAACTCATGTCGATAAAAAAAATTTTACTCAGTCGAAAAACTTAAAATTAAACACAAGGTTCCTCGTAACTCATAACTTATGCGAGTCATAAGCTTTGTTAGTGAAAATTAAAAAAAAAGTCGGGTCATTAAAAATAATTTTCTTTGAACAGTTTCAAAAAGTGGAATCCTCTGGTTCTTGCAGAATGTCGTCAAATGTAAATCAGGCTGCACGTTATCACGTATCACTCTTTTTTATGGTTACATGTAGTTGGAGGAAAATGTTGCTCCAACTATATTGTTATTCAAAGCACAATTGAATACCACTGAACTGACTTCTACGACTGAGCTGAACAGTTATTATACAATAATATATATATATATTATATTAGTGGCAAAGTGTATAGATGAGGTTTATGTACTAAACGTTCGTATTTCGATTTGGACAATTTAAGGAAGGTTTAGATAATATTTATTCTACCAGACTCTCGCCAGTCGCAACTCCCCAGACAACGCCAGATAATACAGCTAGTAAGTAATATGTTATAAATTGTTATACATTTTTCACACAAACATAATGTGTTGCACACTTGCACGACGTGCGCGGTTGTCATATTATCGCAGATATATATGTGTATTTACATATTTCGTTAAGTTCAGGTTATTTTCATATAATATCTCGATATATTCAAGTTTCAGATCGGAACGATATGAAGCCGGATGAAGATAGCTGTTTGTTCGGCTGATACAGATATAGCTTTATATTCATGAATCACGAAACTTTCCTTTGCTATATATGGGTAGTGTTTATAGGAATAGTCGATGTTTACTCGTAAGTTTGTTTTCATATTATTATTTTGGGGCTTAAATGTAGTTTATAGACTCAAATTAATTATTTTTTAGCATGGCAACAATCTAACCGTAGTCTTCGTTTCATCACGCCAAATTTAATAAGTATCCATTTTGCCAATACTATACACCGGATAGCGTATTACCAAGCTCCATAGTGCCACAGCACCATATATGAATAATACGAACTCATTGATTCATTTGAAAACTGCTCGTAAATACAATACGAATTATAATTAATTATTATTGATATTATAACACCTTAGGTTTCTGCGAAGTACTTAAAACAATATATTTTATATACTTTATACACCACATGTTTATTAGTATTTACACCTATTTTAGCGTAGTTTATACCCTAGATAAAGGTATTGAATATTTTACAATTATATATTTTACTATAATATTTTCATTTTTTATTGTAATAATACACTTTAATATAAATTGGTAGTTATTAAGGCGCACAGTCTTAAAATGTAATCTTTTCTAGACGTTTCAGTTGCAGTTTATGATTAAAAAATCAGTTATTAAATCAACCTGGATGACGTAAAATAGGAATTTTTCATGTGAATATCTAACGATGAATCATTATAAATGGGGATAAATGTCAAAAGTATAAATGCAAATTAAATTAAGAATAATAAAAAACAATTTTTAAGAGGAACACGATTACCTGCTGCTAATATTAAAGTCTTAATCATTATTGACAAATAGATTAAAATAATGGATCACTCAATATCGGGCATCGGCGTATCAAGTATCGGGTATTCGCGGATACCAATCTAATAATGGGGCAAATGGATTTATAGCAATACAAGTTTTAATTGGTTGAAATATTTCTATATTGATAAAATCAAATTAATAAATGGAAAAAGTAATTGAAATGATATATTACATCGTTATAATTTAAATTCAAAATTATAAGCTATTTTGGTTTTCAACGAACTAGTTGTATTTGTAAATACGAATTATTTTTAAATAAACTAATCCTAAGTGTTCTAAGTTGTGATCAGAGTTGCCTACCTGTAAAATACCATCATATGTATACAATTTGTCAAATAACCGTTACTTTATTGTATGTCATTACGTAGTTAATGCATTGATAGCAAAATTATTAGCTCCAATGACATTTTTTAACATAAAAAGTAACTTAAATTCATAACATTATAATAGTTTATATAAACTCAAGTTTAAACAGTTAAAATTTACTTATCATAACCTTAAGTGAAGTTCTGTTTTATCTTATGTTTATTATAGGTATAAATTTAATTTCCCTTAGTTTAATAATAAATGAATAAGTAATAATAACTCTGGGATGTATTTTTTGTTACATTTCATTATTGTACGGCGTACTGAGTATGCAATATTAGTGCACACGGACATGCAAAAGTACCCATACCTATTTGCCTATCTCAGCGTTTCTTAAACTGTGTTCCCTGGAACCCCAGGGTTCCGCGGAGGTCACTTCAGGGTTCCCCGAAACTTGTGGTTAATTATTCAAAATTTTAAATTTTGACACATAATTATAACTTTTATTGCAAATATTCCTTACATAAAATGACGCATTGAAAGTATTGAAACAATGTAGTGGTTCTAATTGTCGAGCTGTAATAATTTATTGTTAAGAGCTCAATAAAAAAAAGCTAAAAAAAGTTGGGGGTCCACGTTAAAAGTGCACATAAAAAAGGGTTCCACGGATAAAAAAGTTTAAGAAACGCTGGCCTATCTATAGCATAAAACTACAGAATAATATTAAAGATTCAACTATGTAGGCATTATCCTAGTCAAATATTATTAGGCCATGGGCAGTACGCTGTTTCTTTGATTTTTGATGATAGCATTGATTTTATAATATACATAATATTATAAAATCAATGATTATATGTATACCACTTAATTATTAGACATTATACGCACCTATGCAGGTACATTTAAAAACGAATATTTTTTTCGGGTAACTGAATAATACATTTATCTGCACCCTATAAATGGATATTTTTCTAATGGTGCACTGCATACTAAAATAAATGAGTTCCTAAAAAAGAAAATAATCACAAATGATTATTATTAAATTACAGTTTATTATAGTAGGTATACCTATACTTTCGATTACCCAAAATATCCAGTTTAAAAACATCGTGTACAAACACACATACACATACACACACATCACGCACTCACACGCACAAGTGCGCTCTCATATAAATAAACACGTTTATAATTATATTAACGGACAAAATAAAAATAATGAGTATAAAAAAATTAAATATAAAAATGTAACATATATATAATATAGATTTTATCTTAAAATAAAATAGAAATATTAACGAATAATACTTATCTAATAGTTACGATGGTTATATTATAGGATTAGAGTTTTTGCATGTTATCTATATAATACATAGTGCGTGGGACGTTTTGAAAAAGACAAATAATATAAATAATACATAAATCAAACGTATACAGAACGCGAGGAATCTTCAGCCCTAAAACAATATCAGATTTTGTGGAATCGAGTTTGTAAGGTATGCTGTGCAGTTACGCACGATAAGTAACTTTAATTTACGTGACTGTAGATCGACTAAGGAAATTGAATTCTTGGCATGTTATTTCGTCTTTCCACGGTCAGTGTGATTTTGTCCCCAGCAGACGCCACCAATGGCACGGTCAGACAGCAGTCGGAATCATCTGTCCTGGTGTTATTCACCTACAGAAAATCACGGATCGATTAATGTCTATGTGCAATACATCATATTATTATATGTACCAAATTTGATGGATCATACATTCATATAATATGAATAACACGAGCATAATTTAATAATGGAATATAATAAATAAAGATTTCAACAAGTAAGCTCACCAACTTTATTTTTTCAGTTAATATAGTTTTCAAAATATGATTTTGGGAATTTTTTAATATACTTAAAGTCTTAAGACCGAATTATTTCATTTCTTAGAGATTTCTTTGTACTTCTAATTTCTAAGTAATATCCTGTAAAGATACTGTAACTTCTGTTTTCCAAACAATCACCCTTTTAAAAAGAGCAGTTTTCATTCAAAAAACTGACATTTACTGTATGGCTCCAGGACACTCCATCAGTTTCATTTAGTAGTTTAGTACATTAAGTCCATATACGATATACCTAATGGCTGCTAGCACGTATATGATATTAATACATTATAGTATAACATGGAGTCGTAGAATAAACACTAACTTGAATTATTCGGTCGTATCGTTTTAGCATGCCACTCAAGTCG